TCATCCCCTTCTTCCCGGAGGTACACAGTAGGCTCACGCAGTCTTGCAGGGCACCTTTCTCTGCCCATTTTGCTTGTTCCTCCGCCCTTACCACTCTTGACGGTGGAGCGGCCAGGGGGTATGAAGCGATTCCACTGGTTGAGCGCGCCATTGCGGTCAATCTTTGTCCGCGTGGCACCTCTTCTTGGGGGGGTCCGTCTTGTCTCTCGTCCAAAGCCTGTAGGTTAGCCTGCGGGCCAGGCTGTTTCTGCCTTGCACGCGATGGCCACCTACCAGCCCTACCAAGCGCAGGCGCTGGCCGAGCTGCACGAGGGTGGGTCCAACCCAGGATTGTTACACGAGCTTCGCACCGCAACCGACTATGCTCATAGGACCACTAAGTCCGCTGCGTGTGTGTTTGGCAGGACGATGTCCACATTAGTGGTCCAGGAGTGCCACCTCTGGCTAAACCTGGCTGATATGCGCGAAGTCGACAAAGTTCGGTTTCTTGACTCCCCCATATCCTAGGCTGGCCTGTTCGGCGACACCGTCGGTGAATTCACCCAGGAGTTCAAGGCGGTGAGAGAGCAGTCGCATGCGATGGGCAATGTCATCTATCGGCGGGACCGTAAGCCCCCTCCGCCCGCCGAACTATCCACATCTGCTGCTCCTCGCCGAGGGCATCTGCCTACGAGTGCTGCCCTGCCCCCGCCTGCGCCTCCGGCGAATCGGGCGCGTCGAGCACCTCGGAACTCCTGCCCAGGGCGGCGTTAAGTCTGGTAAACAGACCGTGAATCATCCCTGAGACAGGTCATCCGGATAAGAGGAAATTTGCTCTTTCCCCGCTGGAGGGCGGGGCCCCAATTCCAATGGTACTTTTCAGTGCCACGAAAACATCAATGAAAGAGCCCTTTTCCTCTTCCCCGGATATGACAGCATGAACCCTGCCAGTCCGGGACGCTCGCAGGCTCTGTGCGCTTCGCCAGTGGCTCACGAGCGCTGGGAGGACGGTCTCGTTTCTCCCAACCCTCGAGCCCCCTCTCCGGAGTTAGGGTGCAGAGTGAGAGTAAATCTCTCGCCTCCAGCTCTTCCGCGGAAACCTCGCGCTTCCTGGATCAGCACACCCACTCCGCGCTGCCCCACTGCTGGTACATCAGCGATTGTAGCGATGAGTCCATTAGTGAGAGCTCTGCCTGCCTGGTTAGCGCGGGCCAGCCCTTCGCGGTGGCTCATACGCACAATCAGACTCGGTTATGCGATCCAGTTCGCGAAACGGCCCCCCAAGTTCACGGGTGTATATGTCACCAGGGTCAGCCCCCTGTCCGCTCCTGTCTTGCGAGAGGAGATTGCTGTCCTCCTGGTGAGGGATGTATCAGCCGGTCCCTCCAGCTGTACTTTACATTTTACAGCCCGTACTTTATTATACCCAAAAGAGTGGTGGGTCACCGCCAATCCTAGATCTGCGCGTTTTGAACCTCTGTTTGCACAAGCTGCCGTTCAGAAGGCTCACGCAGAGGCGCATCCTCCGGTGTGTTCGTCCTCGGGATTGGTTTGCAGCAATAGACATGGACGCGTATTTCCATATCTCCATTCTTCCTCGCCACCGTCAACTTCTGCGGTTTGCGTTCGAAGGTTGAGCGTGGCAATACAAAGTCCTCCCCTTCAGGCTCTCTCAGTCTCCGCGGGTCTTCACCAAGCTCGCGGAGGGTGCTTTAGCGCCCCTTTGGCTCGCAGGCATCCGCATACTCAATTATCTTGATGACTGGCTGATTTTAGCTCACTCTCGGGAGCAATTGATTATGCACAGAGACAAGGTGCTCTGGCACCTCCACCTGTTGGGGCTTCAGGTTAACCGGGAAAAAGAGCAAACTCACCCCCGTGCAGAGGATCTCTTTTCTCGGGTTGGAGCTGGACTCAGTCACCATGACATTATGCCTCTCTGAGTGTGCTGAGTGTAATTGCACTGAGTGTGCTCCGCTGATGCTGAACTGTCTGAGAGAACCCGACAGCAAAAAATCTTTACGTCCTGGAGAATGGAGACTCCACCCAGAGTCTGTTCAGCTGATACGGGCGCGATTCGGGGAAGCCCAGATCGATCTGTTTGCTTCTCCCGAGAACGCTCATTGCTAGTTGTTTATTTTCCCTGACCGAGGGCTCTCTCGGCACGGATGCACTGGCCCACAGCTGTCCTAGGGGCATGCGCAAATATGCGTTTCCCCTAGTGAGCCTGCTCACGCAGTTACTGTGCAAGGTCAGGGAGGACGAGGAACAGGTTTTGCTGGTTGCGCCCCTCTGGCCCAACCGGACCTGGATGTCAGAGCTCTCCCTCCTCGCGATGGCCCTCCCCTGGCGGATCCCTTTGAGAGAGGACCTACTCTCTCAGGAACAGGGCACCATCTGGCACCCTCGCCCCGATCTTTGCAACCTCCACGTGTGGTCCTTGGATGCGAGGAAGACTTAGGTAACCTACCGATCGCGGTGGTTATTATCATCACTCAGGCTAGAGCCCCCTCCATGAGGCGCGCCTACGCCCTGAAGTGGAGTCTATTTACTGAATGGTGCGTCTCTCACAGAGAAGACCCCCGAAATTGCCAGATCAGCATTGTGCTTTATTTCCTTCAGGAGAAGCTGGAGAGCAGGCTGTCGCCCTCCACACTCAAGGTTTACGTGGCTGCCATCTCCGCTCATCATGAAGCGGTGGCTGGCAGCATCGTGGGAAGGCATAACCTCATCATCCGGTTCCTCAGAGGTGCTAGGGAAATTAATTCAACCCGCTTCCCTCTCATACCCTCTTGGGATCTCGCCCTCATTCTCACAAGCCTGCGTACAGATCTCTTTGAGCCACTTGACTCAGTAACTTTAAGATTTCTGTCCCTGAAGACAGCTCTGCTGGTCAAGTTGGCATCTATTAAGAGGGTCGGGGACCTGGAGGCATTTTCGGTCAGTGACTCGTGCCTGGAATTCGGGCCGGATTACTCTCACGTTATCCTGAGACCCCGCCCGGGACATGTGCCTAAGGTTCCTACCACACCATTTAGAGACCAGGTAGTGAACCTGCAAGCGGTGCCCCCAGAGGAGGCAGACCCAGCCCTTTTCTTACTTTGTCCAGTTCGCGCTTTGCGTATTTATCTGGACCGCACTCTGAGCTTTAGATCATCTGAGCAGCTCTTCAACTGTTATGGCGGTCGGCAGCAGGGAAGTGCCGTATCGAAACAGAGGTTGGCCCACTGGATAGTGGATGCCATCTCTCTCGCTTATCAGAGCCAGGGCGAGCCGTGTCCCCCGAGAGTGCGTGCACACTCCACTCGGACCATCGCATCCTCTTTGGCGCGTGCACGTGGGGCCTAACAGACATCTGTAGAGCTGCGGGCTGGGCGACACCTAATACATTTGCACGGTTTTACAATTTGCTTTGAGTGTTTTTAAAATTGCATTTTAAAATATTCTACACCATTTAAGGCCTCTGGGATTTAAATGGCACCAATTAATATGAATAATCTAGCTAGTGTTTTTCCGCTACCAATAAACTTCTGGCAAATGGTTAATGTGACTTTTTTTCCTCTGTTAAACCGTTCCTTTTACAGCATTGATGCTTTAATATAATTAAAATACAATCAGTTCAATAAACTTGAGCATTAGTTTAATTGTTTAAGTTTAAAATGAGATAAAAAGCCATTTACATGCATCAGGTTCAGCAGGCAATGCAGAAACTCCGTTGAAAAAACTGGGGTAAAATATATTTTTTTATATTTTAAAGACATGGAGCAGAAAATGGGATATAATGCACTGCTTCTTGTATATTCTGAGACCCACTTTATATTGTATATCAATCAGGCAGTGGAGATCGTTGATTTTTAAAGAAAACAGACTATTTTGGTAATTTTATAACTCCATACAGTTCACCAGAAGAGCTTTAATTGGGTTACTTAAAATTAAAAAGCCGTGCATATACCCTAAATGTTAACATTCCACAAAGGTACATTTTTTCTTCTTTAGATTATTACCATTTTGGGGAACCAAAAAAAGTTTCTTCTAAGGCAGCAGCATGAAAAACACTTTTTTTTTTCTTCCCTGCAGTTTTATCTTACACTCAGTTGCAACACACTGTTTAAGATAAACGATTTCATAAGTTTATCACACTCACTTTCCTTTAGCTTCATTACAAGGCGTTGCGAAAAGATGTGATGGAATAGATATCAATTTTATTTAAATGCTTTTGCAAACTTTCTTTAGCAATAGCGAATTGAATGTGGACGAGAAAACAGCAATAAGGTACGAAATAATGAAAAGGATATTATACAGCTTCATAATAGTAACATACTTATTTTTTATGTTTAAATAATATAATACTGTTGTATAGTATATATAAAATAACAGGGCCTGAATTGAGTGTGGGATAGATGGCTCCCAAATTTTTTTAAGTTAAACAAACCACTGCAATACTTGCAGTGCAGGTACTAACAAAATATAATGCAACAAGTTTCATCAATTTCCAAAATTGAGTTTTTATTTTCAATATTTTTAAAAACTGCTTTTAATTTACAGTGTGAGAGAGTTACATACAGTAAGTAGCCATTGTTAAATCATTTCCAGTATAATTCTGGCCCTAAATAATTCCTGCACAACTCATACAGCCCTTATAGTATAGTACATAGCCCTTAATGCAGCTAAACAACTAATTTATGACAAATAGTTATAAAAAAAAAACAAGGTAGATTTGTTTTCTTGCAGGTAACAAAGGCAACGAGGTAGTCAATGGACACTGTACTTTTCCTTTTGAATAAAAGTAAATAGCTAAATTTGGATTGTGTGATACTATGTTAAGCTGTTTTTGCAAAGAGTTTTAAATAAAATGTAAGAAAAAAAAAGATTTGATATGATGATTTGATATCATGACTTTCAACAATGAAAACAGAACATTACAGTATTGACACTAAAATAATATACAATACGTTCTGTATGAGATGCTAGATAGTCAAAGTCATAGCTGAGATGCTTAATATGCAAATAATGATAGAATGCTACTTCATTTGCAGACCCTGAATTGTGCTGTCCTCTGTATTTTCTGAGGTCCAATTGATGTTCTTGGGTTTGAGTCCACAGTAAAGAGATGTGAAGAGCTTCCTGTACTCTTGCCTGATCTGGAAAATAATTAAAGATTATTTAAATCTCTAGCTAAACATATTCACATATTATTTCCCAACTGATTACTTTCTGAAGATAAATACTGTAGATGAAAATGGCAAAATCCCTGATAGTACGTAGAACACGGAAATGTCTATTTGTTATTATATCTAGAATATTTATTTACCAGAGCATTTGCCTATCTGCAAAATGTATATTTGATATCTATTTTTGGAAATTAAAAAGATGTTTAAAATTTCTATAAAAGTTTTAATATTCATACAGCAGAGTTTTTACAGAGGACTTTTAGCCCTATGATCACACCAAATGTCATTCAGATCAAAGAGCGATGACTTTATGTTAGAGTGTGATATCTGACCCCTTTATTAAGGACGCAGTAGATGAGGAAGATGAAGGTTCCCTGCTGGGAGTTCAAGATCAGGAAGAGGATCTCCAGCACTTTACTGCTATTAGTGAAGAAACCCAGAATCCAGGAGCAACCGAGAACCACAAACTGAGCCAGGGTTTTAAACATTATAATCCTACAGAGGAATCAAGAGTTAATCTTTATCGTCCACATCATATTTACTATAAAATGATCAAATCATAATGTTTGTTACTTGGTTTGATTCAGCTGTGAAACGTCAGCGTTCAGTTTTTTAAAGGCTGACTTCAAACTGACCCCGATGCCGATGAAGAGAATTACGTTTAACTGCAGAGTAAAACAAAACTGTATTAATCACATTGTTTTCCTTATAAATAAGTCCTGTTAAAAAGATAAACACATTTACAGCTAGTATGACGGTAACAGGTCCCAAAAAACTCCAGATGAAGCCTTTATCCATTTTAATCCAGCATCTGTTTGGAGAAGGGTGCAGACAAATGAACACTGAACACAAACTGCATAATGAAGGTGGTAAGAACTGAATCATTTGAAGGAAACTCACTTTTCACTTCCATAGCCTTTGGGAACCACTGCCGCAGAAATGCCCACCACAACCAGAGCAACAGCATATCCTATCACACACAGGAATATATTGCGAAGCACATTCCTCTTTTGGGAGCTGATCTGGGAGAGGTTCTTCACACAGATGAAGAGCAGCACAGCTTCAATGAACATCCACACAAACCCGGAGAGAAAGAGGAAGTGCAGAAGGCCTGATATCACCTCACACAACATCTAGGGAGCATGAGAGATGTTTATGATGATTCTCTATAAAGTGAAATCAAACATTACAGCGTTTATTTTGCTAGCTCACTTATACTTATTTATTTATTTTTAGTTATACTTAAGGCGAATAAATAATCCTTGCAAGTTAATTCACTTTAAAAAAACAAACAGTTTGAATTGTTTCCGCATTCGGAGTGTAGGTATGGGCGATACCAATATTTTTGTTTCCAATCTGATACCAAGTGTTTTAAGTCAAGTATCATCGATTCCAATAAATAACCAATGCTTAAATGAAATATTTTGTTGTTATTTATAATAAAAATGTCCATCACCTTTATTATTGTCATTATTATTAAATAAAACAAGACACATGGTTCCTTTTTACATTTATTAAAACTACATAACTATAATTGGCTAAATAGCACTATAACGAAAAATAACATAATGCAAAAATCATGCTTCATTAAATGAAAAATCGTCCTTTTATTGTTTTATTTAATTAAACAAATGATTGTTGACACTCTCCTTTCGAGTGTGCTTTTTTACTGATCAAAATCTTTTGTTTTTGAAAAGCAAAATATAATAAAACAAATAGTTGCCTAACAAAAAATCCTTGACAGTCAATAGACTGGAATGAAAAAAAATAAACAAATTAAACGAGAGATGTCTTTGGGGCTAGAATTTCTTCACCTTATTTAAAGGTCAAGGCAGCAGAACTTTAGATTGAATCCTAAATTTAAGCTGCAACATTCATTTGTGCTTTCTGATTTTAATCAGTTTCCAGAATTTTGTGAAGGACAACAGAATGTTGACATTTTTCTCCTTTAGCCGATTTCTTCTTTGACTGATCAAAAAAAAAAATCTTTCAGAGGGGACAAATTATGTATATAATATAATATTACAAAAGAATCATATATAATGATTCCCCCTTAGCATATAATATTTATACTTTGTGTGTGTGTGTGTGTGTGTGTGTGTGTGTGTGTGTGTGTGTGTGTGTGTGTGTTCATATGGACATTTATCAAATTTAACCTTCATATGAACTGGCTGGCTGTATTAAACTCGACTCTACTTTTTGTATTAAAATAATTCCCATTTGGTACCTGGATAATGACCGGATTTCTTAATAGATTCTGCCAAAGAACTTTGTCTTTAACAGGAAGATTGGGGGCTGTGCTACTGAAACCTCCTCTGCACGCCTTTTGATGAAATGCAAGAGCTGCATTTCATCATGCTCTTGGGGATGTTTTGCTTTTAGATGCTTTGTTATATTGGTGTTATTGCCACTGTGGGGAACAGTTTTGTGACAAGTATCACACAAAGCCTCTTCATTATTTACTGGAGTAAAATAACTCCTGATTATACTTTGTTTACGTTCATTGATAATAATCACAGCTCTTGAGTTTTACAACCTGCACTGGGTGTGTGTGGTGTCTGTACTACTGTGCAGTGAGCTAACAATGACCTATTAGCAGAAATACAGCAGAAGAATAATATAGTACCCATTTCTGTTCCTATTTAAGGTAATATTTACATACTATGTGCCACTATAAATATTAATATATTCTAAAATCTCTTATTATCACTGAGTAAGAAAAACCCCAGAAAAGATTGATACTTTTATATAAGAATCGATCCTTTTGATACATTTCCAGTATCGAAAATATCGATACTGGGAATGTATCAAAATATTGATAATATATTTCAGGATTGATCCGCCCATCCCTATTGGAGTGTTGGTCCTTCTCTGTTTACATCAACTTGAAGGCTTCCATAATAACTGACAGGTTTTCCTCAGGAATGTGTCCTTTTTATATTATATAGTAATTATAGTAGAAGTATATTCATCTTCGAATATACGTTGTTGTTACGTTGTCATTCGTTGTTGATAGATTTTTTTGAAAAGACTGCCATTACTATTTTACCTACTGTCATTAATTATTTAATAATCATTAAATATTTGGGCACAGTAATTTGTAGTTAATTAAATTTTGAAGTTAACAATGAGGCTATTTGCAAAAAGGTGAAAAAAAACAGCGCTTGCTTTTCCTTAAGGAACACGAATTCTTTTAAAGTATGCTTAGTGTTCTTTCTTATTCTATTATTGTTTTGTTTGATTATATCAGGTTGTCTAGTGGGAACAGACTAACCAATCTAATTAAGACTGCATCCAATGCCGTTGGAGTTCAACACACATTGCTCCAATATATTTTTAGAGAAGGGTGGCATGGTGGCTCAGTGGTTAGCACTGCCACCTCCCAGCAAAATTGTTGCTGGTTTGAGTCCTGGCTCGGCCAGTTGGCATTTCTGTGTGGAGTTTGCATGTTCTCTCCGCTTTCCTTCCTCGGTCCAAAGACATGAACTATACAGTAAGTGAATTGGATGAACTAACCTGAACTAACCGTAGTGTATGAGTATGTGTGTGGTTGTGTATGGTTGTTTGCTAGTACTGGGTTGCGGCTGGAAGGGCATCCGCTGGGTAAAACATATGCTGGAATAGTTGACGGATCATTTTCCTGATAAATATGGGGCTAAGCCAAAGGAAAATTAACCGATAAATAAATTTTAGAGAACAGATGGCTAAAAAAAGCTTGTACAATAATTACATTTTCCATCTCATCCATTGCACAAGGAGTTTGTTGTACTCCCATCAGGCCATAGGTTTAGAGCAATATAGGGAAGGACAAGTAGAGTAGATTTAAGAATCTTTTTATAACAGCTGTTATTTCCACTTAAAATCACGTGTAAAGATGCTGGAATATAAATAAATTTAAAGGATGGATATGGATTTTAATTTACCTTAGCCCCTTCTTTCATCACTCATCATGTATTATATTATGTCTTATATTATGTTTTTTTTTTATGTTTTTAAATGTTTATGTGTAAAAAGGTGGTGCAAAATAAGCAGTTTCCATCGAAGGAGCAGATTTCTTAAGAGAGCAACATGGTCGAGCAGCACGTCTTTTTAAAGATGTTGTTCCAACTGTGAGTTGATGCAGTGGTGTCCTTGCCCCAGAGGACAGAAACAAACACTGTATCACATATCTGTGGGTCCAGCAAGTTAAGCAGATGCTTGTGAATAGCTCTTGCCCTCACTGCGAGGGCTTGAGTATTGCGCAACTGAGGTCGCAGTGCACTCTAGCATTAGGGTGTGTCACCCCTGCTGCTCCTCGCCAGTCGGTTAGCACATGAGCTGGCCTGAGGATCACAGTGATGGCTTATCCCACACACTCCTCTTCAGTGCGCTCTGTCCAAGCTCCGAGTGAGAGTGCCAGTCTATCCACTGGGATGACTACGTTCTCATTACATGGCACCAGGGATATGATGTCCTTTGCTGCATCGGAGGGTGGGGTGGCATGCTTCAATGAATATCCAGATCCACCGCCTCCCTCCGGGGTTGTCATTGAGGTCTTGGTTTTAGAACTGGTCATGTTGGCCATGTTATCTCGGGCTGCTTCGGCCGTGGCACTGCGGCCAAACTAAGAAGAAGGCCAAGCCCCCCGTCCCTTTCTTACTGGAGGCACACAGTGAGCAAACGCAAGCATGGAGGACACCTTTTTCTGCCTCATGCACCCCGCTCTCACCACCCATGATGGTTGAGCAGCCAGGGGGTCTGAGGCAATTCCTTACGTGGAGCGCACTATTGCGGTCAATCTTTGCTTGCAAGGTGCCTCCAGCTAGAGAGGTCCACCCAAGCTCCCTTCCAAAACTTGCATGTTATCCGAGTCTCTTACGGCCAGGGTATACACTGCTACAGGCCAGGCTGTGTCTGCTTTGCATGTTATGGCCACCTATCAACACTACCAAGAGGAGAAGATGGCTGAGCTGCAGGATGACGGTTCTTCCCCGGGCTTGATGCATGAGCTCTGCACAGCAACTGATTATGCTCTCATGACCACCAAATCGGCTCCCAAGCTGCCCCTCCACTGGCACGTCAGTGATCGCTCTGATGGTGCCATTAGTTCAGGCTCTGTCAGCCTGGTTAGCACTGCTCAGCCCGTCGCGGTGGCTCATTCGGAGGGTCAGACCCGGCAACGCAATATTTGAGATTTAGAGGCATTTTTATTTTCATTTTGAACCTGCAAGAGCTGCCCATGGAGGAGGCAAAGCCAGTCATTTCACGGCTTTGTCCCTTTTACACTTTGCGTCTTTATGTGAAACAAACGCAAAACTTAAGATATTGCGAACAGCTCTTTATCTGTTATGGTGATTGGCAGAAAGGAAGTGCCGTATCAAAACTGAGACTGGCCCACTAGAGAGTTGATGCCATCACCTTCCCTTATCAAGGCCAGGGCGAGCCGTGTCCACCCGGTGGTGAGAGCACACTCAACCAGAAGTGTCGCCAGTCTTGTGGGGTTAGCCCGTGGAACCTCTCTTACAGATATCTTTAGAGCTGTGGGCTGGGCGACACCTAATACATCGACTCCCTGGTTATTCGGGAGGAAATTAAGCTTAGGGTCAAAACTGCTTGCTGCGCCATGCTCCTTTACTTAGAGATACGTTCATTTTTTCCGTGGTGCTAGAAAGTTTACTGTTTGACGAACCCTAAAGAACTCCTCCGATGCCCCCAGCACCCGACTCAGTGGAGGAGCCAGGTTCCTTGCCTAATGTGATATGCCCACTTGGTCTACCCACATGCTGGGGTTTGGTGCCAGCTATGCGTGGTCCCCATTGTCAATCCCATATGCTTATTTCATCCACGGAGTGTTCCCTTTTTTCAGGTGGACACATGTCTTCCTCTCCCTCTAACCAGCTTATCATATGTAGCACCCACCTGCAACCCCACCCCCATCCGACCCACCCCCTCAACTGCATAGGGCTAGTCCACAGTGTAGCACTCTCCCTTGATAGAGCTAATAGTAGTTGTTACTACCATCAAGTCTCCCCTTTTTGAGTAGCAGGTGGCCTCCTGAGCACCCTCCCTCTACGTGGACTGCAACACTTTCCCAACGTATTGTTGTAATTCTAATATCCCTAGTCCATATTGCTAAATAAAAGCACATTTACGAATGCCAATCTAAATTCTTTTAAATTATTCCCATGTAATGGTAATTAAGGGCTTAGGGGACTTTGGGAGGTTGTGCCTAAGGTTGTGCACTCATGCTATGCATTGCAAACTTCACATTAGAGGTGTAACAGGCTGAGCTGCTGGGGTGTTTTTCATACACTCTTTCTCAAGACACACGTCAGAGTTCCCATAAAGGGGAACGTCTTGGTTACGAAGGTAACCCTCGTTCCCTGAATAGGGAACAGAGACTGAATAGGGTACAGAGATATGTACTCTGTTAATGATTAATCGCTGGCAGCCGCGAAGCCAAGCTCTGCCAATTCATTTGGCATTCATTGACCCATTTTCTTACTCCTCAGAGGGACTGGTCATCTAGCGATCTCCCATATTGTCTTTTTCAAGACAGTTGTCATCGCTCGTAACAGAGACATTTTCTGTTGTCTGTTTTTGAATGATATATGTGTGACTGTGTCAATCAATTGTGTCATCTGTGCAAATAAAAATTTCTAAGGGATTAATAACCTAACCTAACTGTATAAAAATCTCCTTTACCATATACCCCTTCCTTTTAGTTTTCTATGAGGGAATGGTGTACAAATTTTTTTCTTTATTCTCACCTGCTGACGGCGAATGAGGCTGAGGAACTGTTGTGTGAGCAGAAACAGAAGGTGAGCCAACAGCAGACTGATGCAGATGTTGATTCTGGCCACATTATTCACTCCAGGACCCCACTGACAAAAAGCAAAGGTCAACAAGGCCAAACTGAAGAACAGCAGCCCCACGATCACACAAACCACATTCAGCACATTCAGCAGAGAGTCGTTCTAAGAAAATAAGAGATACAAGAGGGAACAAACAAGAGTGTCAAATTCAATTAACTTCAGTTTCAAAACCATCTTCCCATACTTGGTCCTTTTCACTAATTTATATATTCTATTAGATAAAACTAACTGTAAGGAACAATGTAGCAGAGTCTTCTGCAATAATGGAGGCTTTTTCAACAATATCAATGTCAGAGAGAGAGAGAGAGAGAGAGAGAGAGAGAGAGAGAGAGAGAGAGAGAGAGAGAGAGAGAGAGAGAGCGTTCCATACTATAAAAAATAGCATCTTTGAGAACAACCAGACTTAAATAATCCGCTTCCAGGCCCAGAGAAGTGTGCTGTTGTGTGGAGATCTCAATGCTAGAAAGGGGTTCTTAACTCAGTGTACCACAGACAATGGGAATAAGTACTTATCTCGACAGAGTTATCAACAAAACAGTGTAAATGTCTCTAGGAATAACTCTGATGCCCATAAATAATAACGGAAAGCTCCTTCTTGAGCTCTGTCAAAGTCTCGGCTTGTATCTGGTCAATAACAGGTTGATAAGAGACTCTCTGGAGAGATACACCTGCATTTCATTTTCCAGTAGCTCAATAGTTGACTACACGATCACAAATTTAGATCTGTTCTCTTTCAGTGCATTCACTGTTAAACCATTAACAACTCTATGGCTATGTTCACACTGCAGGCAAATGTGGCACGAATCAGATTTTTTCCCCCTCATGTGACTCAGGTGATGACAGTGTGAACAGCCCAAACCACATGGAATCTGATATTTTCAAGTCAGATCTGTGCCACTTTCATATATAGTCTTAAAACAGACACAGATCTGGGGCCTCATATACGAAGACTTGCGTGGAAATCATACTAAAACATTGCGTACGCACAAAGCTGTAAATGTGCGTACGCAGAAAAAAATTCAGATGTATGAAACACTGCGTACGCTGAATCTCACGCATATTCTTTTGTACATCCGAATGAACGTGAAACTGAGTGCAACATGCACGAGCACAAAACCCCTCCCTGCCTCCTCCCCCGTATGAATATGCTAATGACTCTACTTTGGCAGCTCGTAAGATGCAGGTCAACATGTTTTGACACGTTCGAGCATGAACTCGGTTCGAATCCAGCATCCGATTAACTCTTTCTTCTTTTTTCCCCCGATACATATCAGATTTTGCCAACTATTTATCACGAGAAAGACAAGTAGGAATCATTAATAAGTTTGTGCATCATATTTTATTTGCACATTTATTGAATGAAAATGTTTCTGATTCACGTATGGAAATTCATTTTCAGATAGTGTCTTTATAGCAATGTGCGTGCAGTAGATAGCTCAGATTACATTGGGAAAACAAGCGACCACTCCAAATTGTGCTTTAATGTTTAGCTGGTCAACTGTATGGTATGGAAACCTTATATACCTGCTAGATGAACCCGTCTCATACAGCTGCCATTGCAAGGCTCAGACACTTTGTAGAGAGGAATTTAACACAACTTCCTCTAGGAGTCGCCAATGGAGATAAAACAGACACGCACAAAAAATGTGCGTACGCCAGCCATAAAGCTGGCATGGAGCTGCGCACATTCCCACGTTCAGTTCATCGTTAGTAAATCCAAACGTGAGCGATTCTGAGCGTGAAACCTGGCGTACGCAAAGTTTTTGTGCGATTACAGGGCGATTACAGTACAACAGAAAGTTGGTTGTTCATGTTGCAAAAGATTTTGAAGGCAAAACTGGTGCTTGTTAACTAATCTGGTTAACAATTGAGGCAAGGGGTTGATCGCGAAGCATCGTGGGTGTTGTGGATAGGGGATCTGTGTGCAAAGGATAAAGAACTTTCTCTCCGAGAGAAAAAAGGGCAGGTGCTTGAGCACACAAACCCCCCTTCTGCACGTGTCTTCTGTTTATAACAAAGTAAAATTAAATAACTCTGCAAACTGAGATAAACCAACTCCACCTTCACAGCTCAGTCTGCGGCTGCTCTTAAACCCTTGATGAGTTCACTACACTGGTGATCACAGCGCCACACACCGCGGTTGTCATGAATTACACACGATCAGTGTTTTTTTTTATCATATGAGACTTATTTTAGGTCTCAAATGCCGAAATACACATTTGTAGTAGCAAAACAATCATTTACAGTTCATGAATTACAGCACGGTTGTCTGTGAAAAGGGTAATAATCATATAAGCATTATCTGACAATGTGCTTACTCATGCAGCACACACGTGTGCATAATTAGACATTTTGTGCTCTCTGTAATGCACTTTTGCAAATGCAGGTCAGTTTAGGACCATGATCAGCTATGTGAACAATTATGCAAAAAAATCAGGTCTGAGAAAAAAAAATCAGATTTGAGCACTAAGCCTTGCAGTGTGAAATTAGACTATCAGATCACAGCCAAATTACACTTTATATAAAAAGGACCAAAAATAGTAATCTATTTTCACAATCTAGAAAATTGTATAACAATAAAAATAATTATAGATGGGTAAAAGACAGCTCTGAAAAATACAGGAACGCAATTGAAGACTGTAGGTTTACTTTCGAATAAATTTATGGAAAATAGTTATCCTGATAATGGAGATGTTGTTAATCTAGCTGTAGAAAACATAGACTACATAATTCATTATTTTAACGATATCTAATATTAACACTATTAAGAAAACTTATAAACAGAACAATAGAATGAAAAAGGATCACTTTGATAGTAAAACACTAAGAAAAAAATTAAGACAACTATCAAATCAAAAACACAGACAGCCAGAGAATACAGATTTACGTCTTTAGTACTGTGATGAGCTTAATAAACCTAAAAACACAATAAGAAAAGAAGAGTACACCCAAAAACAGCTGAAAACAACTGAAGAATCTGTTGATTCAAACTATTTCTGAAACCTCCTTAATAAAAAGAAATGTGAACATCTAACAATACCAAATGGAGACACCTGGGAAAACCACTTTGAAAAACTGTTCAGTAAAATAAAATGAATACTAAGCAATCATATATATATATATATATATATATATATATATATATATATATATATATATATATATATATATATATATATATACACACACACACACACACACACACACACACACACACACACACACACACATATATATATATATATGATTGCTTAGTATTCATTTTATTTTACTGAACAGTTTTTCAAAGTGGTATGTGTATATATATATATATATATATATATATATATATATATATATATATATATATATATATATATGAAATAAATTAACCCATACAGAGCAAGTACTTGGCAAATATCAAAATCTGACTACCTAATCACAGAAAAAGCGCTAACAGATAAAATACAAGTCCTATGAACAAAAAAGGCAAGAGATCCAGATGGTATCCTTAATGAAATTATAAAAACATATCACAAATTCCAATAGGCTATAATGAAACTGTTCAATTTGGTTCTGAGTGTTGGTCATTTTCCTGGAAAATGGAATGGAAATGGAATAAAGGATTAATAATGCCCATATTCAAAAGTAGAGACAAATCAGATCCTAACAACTACAGATGAATCTGTGTAAGCAGTAATCTGGGGAAGCTGTTCTGCTGCATCATCAACACCAAACTCATAGGCTTCCTTACAGTGTACAATGTCCTCAGCAAAAGTCAGATTGTGTTTCTGCCAAATTACAGAATATCAGACCATGTCTTCACCCTTCAGACTCAAATTCACCCTTCAGATTAACAAATACGTAAATCAAACCAAAAAACAAAATATTAGCTTGCTATGTAGATTTTCAGAAAGTATTAGGTATTGGTGGTAATCAGGTATTGGTGGTAAAATATACAACATTATAAAAACAATGTATTTGAACAATCAGTGCGCAATGAAAATTGAAAATAAGCAAACAGAATTCTTCACTGTCACCAACCTCTTCAATATTTACATCAATCAATTGGCAATGCTCCTGGAGCAAGCAGATATGTCTATTCCTAACAGTTCCTGCTGTTGGCAGATGATCTGGTGCTGCTGTCACCAACAGAAGAGGGTCTACAGCAGGAGCTAGATATCCTGCACAGCTTATGTCAGACCTTGGCCCTGATCGTTAACTTAAAGAAAACAAAAACCTTAATATTCCAGAAAAAACCCAGATGTCGGGGAAAGAAACACAGCTTCTCCCTTGGTATGACAAAAGTTAAAACCTGCCAAAAGCTACACATATACCTTGGGTAAAAAATAAGAACTAATGTAAAACTAAATTTAGCTGAAAGAATAAGCATGAAGGGCCTTTTACGCCAATAAAAAATCAACACAAATAAAAATTCCAGTTTGAACCTGGCTCAAAAATATCCAGTAAGTGATTTAACCTATAGTACTAAGGAAGCTATTGAGTGAAGTGTGGGGTCTTCTCCTCAAACATAACTTTGGTAAGTGAGAAAAATAATCCAATTGAAAGCCTTCATGGAGAGTTCTGTAGGGGCATCCTCAGGGTACAGAGGAACAAACCCAGTAATGCATGCATGGCAGAACTAGTGCAGTATCCTCAATTCATGCACATTAAGAAACAAATTATCAAATTTTGGAAACAAAAATAAGTGACCCCAACTCTTATCACTTCGGAGCCCTCAAAAACCAAGAAATGGACATAAAAAGAACCTTATTCAGATGGTCCTGAAGCTACAAATCCAAACCACCACAACAAATATGACTAACAGCAGGCTGCATCAGAACACATGCTCATGCACAAAATTAAGCCCATTCAAATAATAATTACATGAAAAGAAGAGTGTCTGATTTACTGGAATGAAGCAGCAAGAAAACAAAGTAAACTTAAATGTTATTTAGACCTAAACAGAGATTTTACACCAGCAACATATCTGAGTGCAATAAAGGACAGTAAACTAAGAACAGCAACGACCAAATACAGGCTGAGTGCTCACAGTCTGACTGTAGAGATAAGCCGATACAGACAAAACTGCCAACCCAGTGAGAGCTGCATTTGCCAACACTGTGCCCAGGCAGAGGTGGAGACAGAGGAACACTTTCTCACCTTCTCAGTTAAATGTGGCTGCAACATTAAAGGTTTTAGTATTTTAATATTTTTTTTTTTTACAACAAGGGGCAGTGTACATTAACATTCCTCAAGAACATAAATATACCTAAATTAGCTCAAAGGCTGGTTATATGGGTTGTCCATTTGCCAGATGTTATAAGCCTATAAACCAATAAAAATGGATTTTCAAATTATAAACAAAACTCAAAACCTAAACGTTGATGAGTCTTTTTAAAAACTGCTTTTCAAAGCTTATTGGAAATGTTCTCGTACCTCTGATGGATGGCTGCTGGTTTGCATGATGAGAGCGAATGTGGACAGATGAACACAGGAACACACAGTAAAGCTTCTGTTGGTGTTTAACACAGAACAACCATCTACAATCCACTCGCTGATTTTCCAGTACACACAGTGCATCGAACCACTGGAGTCAAACCCCTGAAACAAGAACCAACAAGAAAATAATATGAGTGAATATTAGATGTTTTCAGATGCTACAAAACACATTTCAGTTTCTCACTCTGATGTGTCTGAAGGTGAAGTTGACTGGTTTGCTGAGTGCAGTGTTGGTCGTTTTGGGAAGAGTCACTGAGATCACAGAGGACATCATGGTGTTAACTGTATCATTTGTTGAGTAGAAGAAGTCGGCCTTTAGTAGATTCTCCATTGTGTTGTAGCCCAAAAAAACCACAGCAGCTGATCACATGGGACAGAAACAGATGCATAAATGCAAACAACAATAAAAAAAAGCTGTAAAGCAGTGGTGCCCAATCCTGTTCATGGAGATCTTTCTTCCTACTTTTTCAATCAGGTCGACATAGATATGGGTATTTTCAATGCAGTTTTGGTGTTTGTCCACACAAAAGCACAAACTTCTGAAAACTTTTCAGAAACTCCGGGTACAATGTAGTTTTGTGGTTTCGCCTCATGACTTCATGACCTTTTTCCTTTCTGATTGCCCGACACACTGAGGGTGGTGCGGCACACAATTTTGATGGATGAATATAGATGCAGGCAATAAGGTTCTTGTTTATGTGTGAGTTGTA